GGCATGAACGTGGCGCGTCTGAACATGAGCCACGGCACGCACGACAGCCACCGCGCCGTGGTCGATCTGGTGGGTCGGCCCAAGAAGAGTACGTGATGGCAGATCACCATCAGCCGCGCCCCCTTTTGCTTTTCGGGGGCAGGGTTCCCTGCGCGCGGCCCTCGCAACTGGCGCGAGATGACGGGGACGCGCGGTTCCTGGCTGCTGGTGGAGAGACCCGCAATGCTTGGGGCCGAAGCCCCGACAGGCCCGGGCGATCGGGCTCGCGCACAGCGCGGCGCGCGCAGCGCCTGCCGGACCGCGCGGGTGGGGCGGCCCGAGGTGGGGCTCCGCGCCCCCCCCCAACCTCCCAGAAACCCCCTGGAACCCCTCGGAAGGCTGTCCGCGTGCTCCCACCCAATTCACCCCCCAAAATCCCGGCAGGTAAAAGAGTACAATGCTACCGGCCGCGGGGTGGTGGCCACAATGCTGGACACCAAGGTGGGCAGGGTCAGCAGAGGGATACCCCCTCACCCTTTCTGGGGTGTGTGTCTCACGCCTGTGCCAGCCCTTCTGGCAAATGACGCAGCATGCGTGCAAATCGATGCTGACTGGACCCAACTGCTTTCACACACACGAGCGCAAGCTAATGCACCGCACGCGTTTGCATGCAAATACACACGCACATGCATGCTCCCTTGCTTCCTCAGACGCACTCGCATACACACACACGCGCGCACACACACACACACACACACACACACACACACATATACACACACCTGCACACCTGCACCCCAGCGCCCCCCCCTCATGACCTCCCCTCCCATATGACACCCCGACCCCCAGGGTCCAGAGGTGCGCAGCGGTGACCTGGCGGAGCCCATTGCGATGGAGGCGGGACAGCGGTACACTTTCACTATTGAGGAGGGCGCGACCGGCAAGGGGGGCCGCATCAGCGTAAACTATGACGACTTCATACAGGGTGGGGTGTAGCAAGGGGGGGAAGGTAGCGTCTGAAGAGGGTCGGCTCGCATGTTGGGGTGTTCGTGTGTTCTCGTGTGTGTGTGTGTGTTTTTTTTGTATGTGTACGCGTATGTTCGTGACAGGGCATGTGTATGGTCGTGCGCATTTGTGTGTCTGAGTGTGTGTGGTTTGACATGGGTGACGTGCATGTTGTGTGTGGCCCATGGGTCATGTGTGGCAGGAGGGCAGGGGTGCACGGCCGCAGGCCCCCATCCCTGCCATCACGCTCCCTGCCAGCCAGCCTCGGCCCCCTCCTCCCTTCCCTCCCTCTCTTCCCTGCCCTTCTCGTCCCGCACGCCCGCGCCCCTCCGCTTCCTCTGTACACACACCTGCCGCCCGCTCCCCCCCGGCCCCCACATGATCATTGAAGACGTGAGTGTGGGGGACGTGCTGCTGGTGGATGGCGGCATAATCAGCTTTAAGGTGGTCGGCAAGAGCGGGCCGGATGTGGAGGTGCGGGGCCTGGGCTTTTTGGTTTTTTCTTTTTTTTGGGGGGGAGGGGGGGACTGGCGGTGTGTGTGAGGGGGTGGTGGGCCAGGCGAGCGTAGAGGAGTGTGTGGGTGCCTACAAGGGGTTGTATGGGGGTGTCGAGGGGGGGGCTACGGGAGCGGGAGCTGGCGGGCGGACGCAAAGCTCAGGGGAGGACCGGGGCCACAGGGTCTTGGGTTTCGATTTGGAGCATGGTGCTTTGGCTGCATCCAGGGTCGCAGGCCGTCGCATCTCTCATCACCCATTCCTCCTTAGCACAAACCCTCGTAGCCCCAGCCCAGCCCACACGCACCCCACCCACCGCTTCACAACCCACCCACCACTTCACACCCCACACTCTCACTTGACAACCTGCAAATGAACATGCGCATGCAATCACAAACAAACACGCACATGCACACACACCCACATACACACACACATAAACACTCGCACACATCCACACCCACACACACAAGCACACACTCCCACACACACTCTCTCTCTCGCGCACAGTGCGAGGTCGTCGACCCCGGGGTGATGCAGTCCCGCCGCCACCTCAACGTGCGCGGCAAGAGCGCCACCCTCCCCGCCGTCACCGACAAGGACTGGCTCGACCTCAAGTTTGGGGTCGAGGTCGGGGTGGACTACTATGCACTGTCCTTCGTGCAGGTGGGGCGGGCTGGGTTCAGGGTTGAGAATTTGAATGTGGGGTTTTGGTTTTGAGGCAGGGATCGACTACTATGTGCTGTTATGCATGCGGGTGGGGTGTGGCTGGGAGGGCAGGGGCTAGGTTTGAGGGTTCGATGATTCGGGTTCGGGGATCGACGAATTCTCCATCAACACTGAACCCTTTGTGCACGTGGGGAGGGGCTGGGGT